TCCCAGAAACCCACTGGAGTCCGGTAGAGACTGCTTTTATCCACTCTTCGTGCGTGATCAGAATGTCACATTCTAAATTACATACACATCTATGCGTGAATATATCCCCACTTGGTAACGTTAATACCATGGGTGCCGCCCTCCCCACTTTCCATGTCCTTGGGCACAGTACCTAGATAATTCATTCACAATAGCGTATGGGTGGTGGAAATTTAATCAGCCCCTATGAAAGGACATTACGCGTTACATAGCCCAGTGAATAATCTCATCAGGTTAGTGAATGAATAAGTTCATTATTCATAGCTACTTATTTAAGAAGATAGAGCCATTGTTTGGCATCTTCATCAGGGAAAATATGACTGATTTACTGTGCACTGAAGTTAGATGTTACTGTAGCTGGTTACTAAAAGTAAATTCTATCTATGGATGCCACGAAAAGGCTCGGCCCATGAACAAAACGCCCCTCCCCCAGTTACGAGTTAATAGAAAACGACATGTGGATAGTTAGGCCGTGTCTATACGGAACCACCCAAGGCGCGATTCGGGTAACTCACATTCCTCACATCTGGTCCACGTGCCACACACACCTGTGAAACCGTGTCCGAACATAATGCTCTTGCGCTACATTTATTGCTGTTTGATGATAACACGCAAGGCGGCGTGTTATTAATGTCAGATGTCAACGACATGATTGCCGATGCCCCCCTCCCAGCCTATCTCGGCCGAATGCCGACGTGGTCCCGCCAGAGGCGGTGAAGCTCGCCCTAGAACGGACACATTATTTGACCATTACTGCTCTGTAAGTTGCTGCCACGTAAAAGTTGGTATTGCATATAAAAAAAGAAATATCACTCCGTTATCCATGACCAGGCGAAGTCACATTGAAATCACATTGCGTTCAGACGCAAATCGCGATGCGGGGAAACCGATTCGAAACCACCTCTAGAAGTGGCTCCAGACGAAGGCGCTTTCAATGTGATTTCGGACCGTTCAGACGGAGCCACTTGAAACCGGCTTCGGGGTAAACCACATGTAAACCGCCTTGGGTGGTTCCGTATAGACAGGGTCTTAGTGTTCGCTGATTGAATCTACAGGTGGGTGTGATTCAGCATATGTCCCAGCACATCATATAATCATAGGAGACAAATAGGCTTTATTGAAGTTATGCTGTGGCGGGCCCAGCCAGTCCGGGTAACCATATAAGAAGGTTCTTTATTAAACATCGGCAACCAGTGAGTTCTAACATCTGGCGCCTCTGTGACCCGTCTGTGCTGTCACCTTCTTCAGGGCAACCGTCACCGTCATTGGTGCCCTGAAGAAGGTGACAGACGGTCACTAAAACTTCGGATGTAAAGGCCCACTGGTTATTGAATATACAACCTTCTTATACAGTATCGCTTGTTAAATCATGACCAGAGTCCATTCCCCATTTCAAGCAGATAAAAGGTTGTGCCAAATAAAATTTGGAGCGTTCGTTGAATCAATTTCAACATATGATTGGTCTGGGGAATTTCCAATATCTTGGAAATCATATGGAGTAGAGAAGCGGTGATGCAGTCCCGGCGGCAGTTCCCATTTGATACAACAGTCACTGCTTGCCCGAGGGATGGACTGTTTGCGGTTTAAAGTAGTTTTGAAGCGATCGATGTACTTTCGCCAAGTCCAGTAGACGCGACTCATGAAT